CACGTGTTCTGAAAGTATGAATAAAGATGGTGGACCAATACCTGATAGTATACTAAATAACTTGTTAAAATAATATTTCAATTATTAGATTTACCTGACTACTACTACATACGGACACATTGTAAAATTAATTTAGGAAAAGAAATATTGCAAAATAACTTCGCTTTCAATGAAATGCACAGACTTTTAGACCTGGTATTCTGCAATCACGTCTGTCTCGTTGAAAAATCTCTAGATCCATTAGTAAAAGAGGACGGTCATCATCCTGCTTTGGAAATAACATGCGAACTGAACTTCAAAACGAACTCGAAATTTGCATCATGTTTCCAAGATGCATACAATTTTAAAAAAGCTAACTCAATCTCCCTCAATCTCGATTGGACGTTTCTAAATGCGTTTCGCAATGCAGAGATGCCTGTCTTCACTTTTATGAAAAATTATACAGTGTATTTGATCGCTACGTGCCAAAATTCTCGATAAAATCTAAAAATAATTATTCAGCCTACTTTGATGATGCATAGGTACAAAAAAACGGCGACATGCACGTTTTTCACGAATTCAAACGTCTTTGGGCAGAAATCAAAGCAGCCATCAGAATTGCTAATAAAAATTCATTCAGAAAACTGAGAGCGAGATTAAACATGACCCCTACTCAACAAGCTTTGGACTTTTGGGTTATCCAATGAATCGTATTTTTACAACCGTAAGCAGTACGTCCAACTAAATGGCCTCAAGTCTATCGAATATATAGCCACATCTGATGTTCCACAAGGATCAAATCTAGGACCACAACTGTTCAATATGTTCATTTACGATATCGGAGTTGAGATTGATGTCAATTTCCTTTTATACGCAGATGACTTGAAACTCTATCACAATATAACATGTTCTAATGATTGCGAACGTCTCTGCCCTGAATTTAAATCGCGTTGCTACATGGTGTCGGAAGAATAATCTATCTCTCAACATATCCAAATGTAATGTAATGTCTTACTCACTGAAAACGAACTTGAATTTACACAACTACGTCATAAACAATCAAGTTCTGGAGCGTCCTGACACACTCACTGATCTAGGTGTTACTTTTGATTCATCCCTCTCTTTCAATAAACATATTGACACTACTCTAACAGCAGCTTATCGCATGTATGGATTCTTAGTTAGAAATACAAAAGACTTCGAAAAAGCTTCAACATTGAAATTACTTTATTTCACTTTTGTTCGATCTAGGCTGGAATATGCATCTGTCGTGTGGAGTCCCTACTATCAGGTTCATATAAATCAACTAGAAGCCCTACAGAGGCGCTTCCTAAAATATATGTCTTTTAAACTTGAAGGCACGTATCCTACTGTAGGAATACCCTATTATGAATTGCTTGTAACTCACAATTTTTGTAGTCTCGAGGTAAGGCGTAAATATTATTCATTTCTTTTTTTATTCAAGGTCATAAACAATATCATCACCTGCTCTCAACTGTTACATATGTTGAATTTTTGGGTTCCTAGACGGTCATCTAGGAATAGTGTCACATTTTATCTCAACACTCCGCGTACAAATATAATGAAAAAATCTCCAATTTATACAATGTGCCATATACCTCTAATTCTCTCAGTCCTAGATATATTCAACTACCAGATTATACAAATCAAAAGACATTTCTTAGGTAACTGACAGTTCTGTTTTTAATTTTTTTTTTATATAGATTCACAAATTATATTATGTAGTAAATGTTTGAAGCGCATTCTTTCAAAACACATTTCATTTCGTTCAATTGTTCCTTTCAAGACGTTCCGTAACATTTGAGGCGTTATACTTTCAAATGCCCTCAGAATTCCTTTACGATTTCAAGAGTTGCTGAGGCTGTAACTAAGTAGACCTTTTTTTATCATATCGGCAAAAATATAAAATCAGTTGCAACGTCGTGAATATTAAAATGTTCTGATTTATAACTTCTCTGGTATTACGAGTGAGTGGTCTATGGTGATGAAAGTACATTCACTATAAAACTACGAAGAGTAGGTTACTAAGATAACTTTCGTTTTTATTTTGAAGGAAACCTAATTACCTAACCAGTGTTAGCTAACCTTGAGACATTATTCTCCCAATTATTCCCTTTCAAACAATATTATCCCAGACATTGACGCCAAACCATTCTGAATATTTCACTCACGGAACATGCCAGAATTTATAAACAGTCGTAATTCGTCGAAAAATACAATAATGTTATACTTAAAAGTACTAGGAATAATATCTTGCCTGTTAGTATTTCTTCAATAAAGATAATTTTTATTATTGCTACTAAAGACCGAAAAAAAAAATGATAAGCCCAATTGTTTCGCAGGCAACCTTCGAAAAACTGGAAAACGAACTGCGCGAAGTTAATCAGAACGCCGAAGCCCTCAAGAGGAACTTTTTGGAATTGACAGAACTCAAGCAGATCCTTCGCAAAACCCAAGTGTTCTTCGACGAGGTAAGCAAAACCGCTTTGGTCTTATACTAAGTTCGTAATCTCAAAATTTAGCTCACCTAGCATGATTTATGGACAACATTTTCCGAAATTAGTTTAAATATATCTGTCCTTAGCGTATTATGTAGAATAATTGATCCCGTCGCAATATTCAAGAGTGAAGTTTTGGTATACTTTTAGGTAAATTTGTTGTTTGAACTGGTTGGTTCGTCTTGATGAGGTTGATGATACAATACCAGTATTGTTAAAATTCAAAATAATAATATCGCCTTCATTATTTTCAAAGATTGATTACAATTTCTTTTTACATTCCTGAATTGAAAATGAAGGATTATCTCAGTTCATTAATGAAACATCATGAGATTCAAAGATTGTAAACTCATAGCAACTAGAGTTCTTCTGCTGCCTCATCGCCTTTCATAATATCTACCGCAGTCGTAGACGAAACGTCGGGTATAAAAATCGGCAGACCACTGCCAAAAAACTCGCAAGTAACTTTGACACTTTACAAGATTTGTTTTTCCGCTTATACTATCTGTGTATAGCCATTTTTGAGTGATTAGTACTGAATTCAACCAATAAAACAACAATAAAATTAGATAAATGAATATTGCTATCTTCAGTGCAATCTTCATATCTGTTGATGAAGTCACAAGTAAATATTGCTATCGTCAATGCAATCCACATATCTAGTAATGAAGTCACAATGTTGTTGTAAAAATGTTGAAATGTTGATTGTTTGAAAAGTATCATGAACATAAATAATATAAAAGTACTTATTGCCCCATTCAATTCAATTCAATAATGAAACTGTGTATATTTCTAAAGACTTGGGACCACTACCCACTTGAAAAATAAAGGGAAAGCTGACCCAGGTACAACAGACCAGATGTACCTTGGACGGTATCCGTTGTACCTTGGACAGAGAAGGTTCAAATCAAGATAAACACTTCTATTAGCTATAATTTATTTATTTTCTGTTGAAATAATATTAGTGATCATTATTTAATCATATGAGTATTTGCAAATAGCAAATAAAAACAGTTATCAACAACTAGATTTTAGTAAAAGTATTTTTTTAAAGCATCATCTATCTATTTTGTACTCATTACAGTCGACGATACTTTGGCTTGGAATTACTTTACGATCATCTTTAAGAGCTACTTTTTTAACTGTTTTTAAAGCCTCAATCGCATTTTTCTCTGGTGTATCCGTTAGAATTCTAGATTTACCTTTTGGTCTACCTTTATGTGTTCCTTTTCGAGGTGCTGCTTTTGGGTGTTGGCGAATTATTTCAGTGGTGATAAGTTTTGAAGAACTTGGTCCAAATTTATGAGGTATGTCAGAAATGTTGAGTAAGGACATTTCAGGTTGATCAGAGGACTCTTGGACCAATTCTGGAGTCAACTGATTACCAGTCTGTGCACAAGATTCTGGGGGCCAAAGATGACCAACTTTGACTGGAGGTTCTTGGAGCAGTGATTTGTCAGCCTGTGCAGATGATTCTTCAGGCAAAAGACGATCAGGCTGTGTGGAAATTTCTTGGGATAGAGGACGATCTGAAAAGTTTGCTGCCAGAAAGTCAGCATCTGAGAATATATTCTCATTCAGTGGATGAAATCCTGTAGCCTTGAAACCATTCGCAATGTTCATTGGTATAAACGCAGGTGGAAATGCTTTTCCAACCAAGTCAGCAATGTCATAAATTGTCAAAGGTTTTCCTATGTGTCCAGGCGTCATTAGCTTTTCGTTAGTGGCCTGATTGAAATATGTTTTTAATGGTCCAAAAACTGATTTGTCCAATGGTTGCATTTTATTGCTTGTGTGTGGATGTAGCGTAACAAGAATGACACCGTTTTCTTTTTTTATTTTTTAGACACGTTTTAAGAAATATAGAAAGTAGAATTTCAGAAGAAAGTAGGTGTGTGACTTCATGGATCGTAATTCGACAAGTCTTTTTTTTTCAAGTCAAAAATATAAAAGGGCATTGACGAAAAATGTGTTGAATAAAGTAGAAGATGTATATCTAAATAACCTTCATCAAGACAACCAACACTTTAGCGATATTTTTCTCAAATTTTTGACGTTAAAAATGTTTATCTCGAGTTACATCGGTTACTGTGATAAATCGGCCTTGGCCTTGCATACACCTTGAATATTGCGACCTTCATGATTTTTTTGGTTGTTTTTTTAGCCGTCGCTGGCAACTCATTATCTTCAACCGTGAGAATGTCAATGTTTAATGCAATTTCGATGTAACTATTTGAACATTATAAATTAAGTACTCGTGAAGATGCTGTATTTAAAGATATCTACAATATTGGCAGTGCTTTCGGGACAGTTGAGAAATGTTTCGGTTGTTTTTTAGCTCGAAATCATTTCCTAAAGTGCCCAAAACAATTTTCAGAGCTCGGTTATTTCGTAAGAATTCTGTAGACAAGAACGAGAGCACTGATAATTCATCCATATCTCCATATCGACTTTTGGAGACAAGGTTGGTTGGAGAGAATGGATAGAAAGACTGAAACTAGAAAGGGGTAGTATGCAACTGAGGGATAGAAATGGGAGAAACAGTGAGTGGATACACATCGCAAATGAATGGGCGGAGAGCGTGGTGCGAGATGAATGGGACAGATGAAAAGCAGGCTGTCAGCTCAGTGTCACGGTTAGCTTACGATACTCAGTTTAATGTAATACTAATGCAATATAACGTAAATGTAATAGTTTTTTTTTGGTTTAATAAAGTTGGGTCTTCTACCCCGTTGATTTGAAGAGGGGATTTCCTTGGCAGTAGTGAGCTGGATAGAGGCAATATGCCCAGTTGGAAGGCTTTCGAGCCAGGACAACGGAGGGCGACGGCATTATTCATGTCCATAATATTTGGCATCGCAGTCCTTACAATTAATTTCCGAATTCTCGATTTTGTCTTTTGGGTTTCATAAATGGCTCTGTAGTGTATGACTTGTTTAAAACCCACCTTGATACCTATTTCCTTGAAAATGTTTCCAAGGTTCTTCGTGTATTACACGAAGATACTTAAGACGCAGATACCTGAAAGAGGTATCTATGGTATAAATAAGGATAACATTGTGAGTATATTTAGATTATTCTCCCTCTTCAAGATGATCACTTGGTGATCGAAACACGTGTCGAGGTGTTAAAATAACGGTTTGATGTTGGGAAAATACGCCAGTAATATTTATTGTTTTTGATTCATTTGCTAATGAAATATCTACCTTGTAACTGTTATTGACAGAAAATTGTTACTCTGAAAATTACTTTCCGAAAATAGAATATGTAATGGTCTGTGATGCCTACTGTTGAATGCTGCTACTTTATGTTGATAGAGATGTGTTGAGGAATTAAAAATGACACTAGTCTTATAAGATGGTTTGTGGAAATTTTAAAATCTCACATTATACTTGGAATCGTTTTTTTTTGCATTCAATGTGCGAATAATTTGGGGATGTTTAGCATCAATGTCGCCATGTTCAAATCATTTGACCTTGGAAAAAAAGTCGTTGCTAGTGTATTGGACATATTTATATTTATCGATCCAGTCGTTGAATGCTGATAACCTCAAGCCAAAAATANTAAACAAAAACGTACATCGTAACTACGTTTTGGAACTAATTTCGAAATTTCAACAAACGGGATATGTGGCAAATAAAACACGTCAAATTGAAAACCCAGTAAGAATAAAAAATTACCTTTTTAAACGATGTGTCACACTTACTACTTTCCCCATTCAAATTGTTTGGGTGATAGTCACCGAGGGGTGGGGGAAGAGGTATGACAGTTGAGGTTATGATAGGAAGATGTCCCCCTTGGATTACAAATCGACGTGTTATTGCATTTTTTTTCAAAACACATGTGTTTTGTACTCTTGAGATATTTTCGGCAACATTACAATACCGAATTTGGTACATGTTTGTTCTAGCCACGAGGCAAGTCAAAACTCATCATTGTTTTGAAAAATAATTAGTTTCAACCTTGTCAATAAGTTTATGTGACAGTTCATTCTCGATGTTTTATTCGTAACCGTTGAGTTTTCATTTTAGAGCTACATATATTCAGTCGTTTGATACAATCGTTGAATTGAAAGAATTAGTACACTATCATCAACTTATTTTTCTCACTGATTCGGCCGTTACTTGATGAAGATCCATAGTAATTTCATAAACTTCACCTCACGACTTGATCTCCACAAACTTAATTTGAAAAATATATCACGACATGTTTCGCTAACACAGTAGCTTCTTCAATAGTGATTTGAAGTATTCAAATAATATTCTGTATTGTGGAAATCAAATCGTGAGGTGTAGCTTATGACATCAACTTATTTTTATCCTGCTATATACTTAAAGTGTTTCGATGGATATCGAAATTTTGTTGAAAACTCCAATAGATACAATCTTAGGAAAGCCCTTTTCCCACACCAGAACTAATATTGTCTCTCGACATCTCCTGATCCTCCTGATGGTGATAACTTAGTTATCGAAACGCGCCTAGAGAGAGACAGTGTTTTTGTTTTGGTGTGGGAAAAGTATTTTTTTCAGATCCAAAGTATAATCAAAAACAGAGAGAAAATTAAGCGGTACCGCCCGTCGCTGATTGAATAATAATAGTAATAAACTTATTGAATAGTCTTATCCGTTCAGCAATTTCGAATATGTTCTACTGCGATATTTTGACTGACGATTACCTGAGCAAAGTCATTAATTTCTACTCGAGCTTCTACTTTGATCAATAGCTGATATAATGAATAATAAATACTATTTTGAATTTAATGTTTGGAAAAAAGTATTAGGTAGTTCTGCCTAAATTGTAATTCATGAATATTGCTTAAAAAATAAATGTCTTGTTAAAAAGTCTTTCGTATCGAATACGATCATTTTTCGGAAAGAACGGTTTTTGGCTTTCTACTTCTCCATCTTTAAATAAAAAAATGTGGGAACTTACCGAAGAAAGGAAGAAAGTCCTAAAGTTCAAAAACTAATCTCTAGAAAAAGTATACTGGGTTCAATTTGAATCCGGATACAGGGTGATCCGAAAAATGAATTTAACGTGATCGAATTTAAAAAAAAATGTTGTATAATAAATTAGTTTTAACCTCATATTGCATTAATAAAATATAAAGTTTCGATGAAAGTATTACATAATTAGAATATTCTCACAAATAAAAATCTATCATTGGACTTCTGGGAGGTCATTGAACTGCCCCATTCCAATCCATTAATTTGGAAACTTTTGACAGGATCCATTCTCTCATAGTTACACTAAAAAATAAAACAGCTATCAAAACTAATTGCTCAATTATTCCATTGGTACTTCCAGAATATTACAGAATGCCTGGTTTCTCTGAATATTTTTTTAGATTTTTCTAGCCTCACACATTCTCTGCGAAACACTTTTCACTCATATAGACTTGGACCGATCGTGTTATAAGAGATAATTTTGAGATTATTTCCCATGCCATCTTCATTACACCGTTTATACAGGGTGGGGCACCGAAAAGGAAACAGATCGAATATCTTCAAAACACACGTGTTCTGAAAAAATGCAAAAATACCTCGATTTTTAATCCAAGGGGGACATCTTCCTATCATAACCTCAACTGTCATACCTCTTCCCTCATCCCTCGGTGACTATCACCCAAATAATTTGAATAGGGAAAGTAGTAAGTGTGACACATCGTTAAAAAGGTAATTTCATAAGGAATTCAGCCATGTCAATTTTAGCTACCTAACTTTCGATTTTGGCGCCTTCTTGCGGATAAAACTGTTCCGTATTCCAAATTTATAATACTTCATTCGTAAGCAAATTCGATGACAATGAAATATGGAGTTTTTCTAGGGGAAAAACAAGATGGCTGCAATTATGGTCCAATTTGATTTAAAATTGATAAGTGGTGGTTTTCAGGGTCGGAAATTATTAATTGTTTTTCAATGCAAAAATTCAAGATGGTGGCTCCAAAATGGCGGACGAAATTTGTAATTATGGTTCGATTTTACCCGACACCGAAAACAAATTCTTCAAAACGCATGTGTTGTGAACATAATGCAAAAACACGTAAATTTTAAGTCCAAGAGGGACAAATCTTTTCGTTACCTCAACTGTCATACTTCTCTCCCCACCCCTTGTTGACTCATAAAATTTGATTAGGAAAAGTACTAAGGGTGACACAGCATTGTAAAGCTATTCCATAAGGAATTCAGACATGTGAGTGTTCGCTACTTAACTTTTCATTTTGGCGCTCTAAGGTAGGAAAAACAACTGTTTCGTTTTTCAATTCACATTTTATTTGAAAGGTAATGTGAATTCACGAAAAAAGAACAACAATTGAAAAAATTACATAATCCAATCATCGCAAACTACTTTATTTCACAGTAGATGTTCAAAGTTTCGCCATGAACTGCCATAAATGAGTATAAGTTATTTCCGAAACGCCGTNAGATAGCGCCCAGTCGCCATCTTCAAAGTTTCTGTCAATTTCACTTCAAAATGAAGTATTCATACATTAATTTCATTATCCCAAATTTCAATTTTTTTATCTGATCCGTTCAAAAAATTAAAGAGGGGACATTAAAGGCATGAACTGTATGCCTAAACTTCAGAAGAAAGCTGTTGAAATTTCATAATATTCTACTCGTTAGTTTGTGAACTATTGTGCTAAGAGTGTCACTACTTTTGTTATTTTCAAAACAATGGATCAAAAACAATTTGATGTTTTTATTTTAAGGGGGATTTACACGCAACGATAAGTTGTAGCAATTTATCGTAACGATCAGATTGTTACAATTTATCGTTGTGTGTAAACGGGAGATTGTAGTGATTTATTGGGATTGGAGTTGGAGTGGATGGTTGAAGCCGGCCGGCATCAATTTCTGGGAATCGTAACGATGTGTTGGAACGTGTAAAAGTTGCACCAATTTA